TGGAGAGATGAAAACAGCGAGCGATCGGAGCAGATATGGGAAGATGCGCCGCTGTCCACCAGCCAGGAAGACGTCCGGACCAGGTTTGATGAAGAGGCCGTGAATGCCGATGCATAGGGAGCACCATAAGGGAAGAGGAGGAGGAGGAGGAGGAGGATGGTGAAGATGAAGAGAGTAGCGACGAGAGGAGTCCAGGTGGGGAGGATGGAGCCGTGGCTGGTGCTGAAAGCAATGTCAACGTACCGGGAATCAGGTACGGACTGAGAGGCTGATGGGGCAGTAGGTGTTGTGGAGGTCGAAGGGATGTCGGCGGAGGAGCTTGTTGACACATGCACCGAAGGCTGGATGACAGATTTCTCCCGTCGAGAGCTTTCTTCGATCTCTTTCTTCTTCTTCAACTTGAAGCATTCGTCAATAGTGTGTCCGGTTTTCTTGCAGTAGCGGCAAGTAGGGGACTGGCGGGAACCGGAGCGAATAGGGTGGGAGGGCTGGGAATGGAGGTTGTATGCACCTTCCATGTTGCGGCTTGTACCAGATTGTGACCGCTCCCAATCGGCATCGAGTAGACGTGACTGCAGGTATTCAACCGTCATAGACTTGATGTCTTTCACGGTGCAAATAGTTTCTGTGAGAGTCTTGAAGGAGTCCGGCAGATTGAGAATGATGGAGATTACCACCACCCAAGATGGTAACTCGAAGCCGGCAGATTTGAGTTGGTGCGTAAGATTTCCAACTCGATCGAAGTAGGAGCGAAGACTCATTGTTGGGTCCATCCGTGTAGTGATGAGATCTCGCAGGAGAGCCACTTGTGCATGGTTACCCATGCAGTCAAACCGCGCCATGATGCATCCCCACATGTCCTTCGTCGTGTTGGCTTGAGCAAGTGTGAGCGAGAGCTGAGGATGGACGGCTGACATGAGAAGATAGTACGCATGCTCCTCTTTTTCTTCATCCGGCAGCGACGCAATCGAGTGGGCTGTTTTAGGGGCTGCACCATTGTTGCCTTCAGTAGCATCTCCACTGCTGGTTGTGGAGGAGGAAATGGAAGGGCGGGAAGCAACCTTGGGATCTCCAAGAAAGGAGATCAGCCCAAGGACATTAAAGATGTAGCATATCTTTTTCTTCCATGGAATGAAATTGGAACCATCCGGTTCCAAGATAGGAAGGGTGTGCCGACCGAGAGGCGTCTCAACTTGAGCCATCAAGTGTGCGACGTTCACAAAGCTAGAAGCCTAGCTCTGATAGCATGAAGAAAATGGATCGGTGAACTTAGGGCACGATAGGAAGAAGAAATCTCCTTAGCAAGAAAATGGTACAAGTCTTAAAGACTAGAGCAAGGTCCTTGTAAAGGATAATCCCTAGTGAAGTGGGAAGCCACATATATGTGGCTGAACTCTTGAGGCTAGCTGCAGCACCTCAATGCTGAGGGCTAGGCTAGCCAACCTTGCCAAGCTAGCAAGTGAGGCCACATGTTGCACATGTGGGCCAGGCTGGAACAACAGCCCACATGACAGCATATGGCACACCATAGAGGCCAGCAAGGTGAGTGTGGGATGAGTGGACAGGTGGCAATGCCAGCTGTGACCACACTTCACTGTGGTGGAGTGTGGTAGAGTGTGGATATGTAATGTGGAGCATAATGAGAAAGGAACCTTCAGCCATTGAGAATTGAACCCACAACCTCTAAGACCACAGGTGAGAATCTACCCTCCGGGACATATTTGCTGCACAACAAGCCAACTGCATCGTTTGTGAAGGTGTGTATACGAGTGTTGAGGCAACTGCATCGTTTGTCAAGGTGTGTATACGAGTTTTGAGCCAACTGCATCGTTTGTCAATGTGTGTATACGAGTTTTGAGCCAACTGCATCGTTTGTGAAGGTGTGTATACGAGTGTTGAGGGAACTGCATCGTTTGTCAAGGTGTGTATACGAGTTTTGAGCCAACTGCATCGTTTGTCAATGTGTGTATACGAGTTTTGAGCCAACTGCATCGTTTGTCAAGGTGTGTATACGAGTTTTGAGCCAACTGCATCGTTTGTCAAGGTGTGTATACGAGTGTTGAGCCAACTGCATCGTTTGTGAAGGTGTGTATACGAGTTTTGAGCCAACTGCATCGTTTGTCAAGGTGTGTATACGAGTTTTGAGCCAACTGCATCGTTTGTCAAGGTGTGTATACGAGTTTTGAGCCAACTGCATCGTTTGTCAAGGTGTGCATACGAGTGTTGAGCCAACTGCATCGTTTGTCAAGGTGTGTATACGAGTTTTGAGCCAACTGCATCGTTTGTCAAGGTGTGTATACGAGTTTTGAGCCAACTGCATCGTTTGTCAAGGTGTGTATACGAGTTTTGAGCCAACTGGATCGTTTGTGAAGGTGTGTATACGAGTGTTGAGCCAACTGCATCGTTTGTCAAGGTGTGTATACGAGTTTTGAGCCAACTGCATCGTTTGTGAAGGTGTGTATACGAGTGTTGAGGCAACTGCATCGTTTGTCAAGGTGTGTATACGAGTTTTGAGCCAACTGCATCGTTTGTCAATGTGTGTATACGAGTTTTGAGCCAACTGCATCGTTTGTGAAGGTGTGTATACGAGTGTTGAGGCAACTGCATCGTTTGTCAAGGTGTGTATACGAGTTTTGAGCCAACTGCATCGTTTGTCAATGTGTGTATACGAGTTTTGAGCCAACTGCATCGTTTGTGAAGGTGTGTATACGAGTTTTGAGCCAACTGCATCGTTTGTCAAGGTGTGTATACGAGTTTTGAGCCAGCTGCATCGTTTGTCAAGGTGTGTATACGAGTTTTGAGCCAACTGCATCGTTTGTCAAGGTGTGTATACGAGTTTTGAGCCAACTGCATCGTTTGTCAAGGTGTGTATACGAGTTTTGAGCCAACTGCATCGTTTGTCAAGGTGTGTATACGAGTTTTGAGCCAACTGCATCGTTTGTGAAGGTGTGTACACGAGTTTTGAGCCAACTGCATCGTTTGTCAAGGTGTGTATACGAGTTTTGAGCCAACTGCATCGTTTGTCAAGGTGTGTATACGAGTTTTGAGCCAACTGCATCGTTTGTCAAGGTGTGTATACGAGTTTTGAGCCAACTGCATCGTTTGTCAAGGTGTGTATACGAGTGTTGAGCCAACTGCATCGTTTGTCAAGGTGTGTATACGAGTTTTGAGCCAACTGCATCGTTTGTCAAGGTGTGTATACGAGTTTTGAGCCAACTGCATCGTTTGTCAAGGTGTGCATACGAGTGTTGAGCCAACTGCATCGTTTGTCAAGGTGTGTATACGAGTTTTGAGCCAACTGCATCGTTTGTCAAGGTGTGTATACGAGTTTTGAGCCAACTGCATCGTTTGTCAAGGTGTGTATACGAGTTTTGAGCCAACTGGATCGTTTGTGAAGGTGTGTATACGAGTGTTGAGCCAACTGCATCGTTTGTCAAGGTGTGTATACGAGTTTTGAGCCAACTGCATCGTTTGTCAAGGTGTGTATACGAGTTTTGAGCCAACTGCATCGTTTGTCAAGGTGTGTATACGAGTGTTGAGCCAACTGCATCGTTTGTCAAGGTGTGTATACGAGTTTTGAGCCAACTGCATCGTTTGTCAAGGTGTGTATACGAGTTTTGAGCCAACTGCATCGTTTGTCAAGGTGTGTATACGAGTTTTGAGCCAACTGCATCGTTTGTCAAGGTGTGTATACGAGTTTTGAGCCAACTGCATCGTTTGTCAAGGTGTGTATACGAGTTTTGAGCCAACTGCATCGTTTGTCAAGGTGTGTATACGAGTTTTGAGCCAACTGCATCGTTTGTCAAGGTGTGTATACGAGTTTTGAGCCAACTGCATCGTTTGTGAAGGTGTGTATACGAGTGTTGAGCCAACTGCATCGTTTGTCAAGGTGTGTATACGAGTTTTGAGCCAACTGCATCGTTTGTCAATGTGTGTATACGAGTTTTGAGCCAACTGCATCGTTTGTGAAGGTGTGTATACGAGTTTTGAGCCAACTGCATCGTTTGTGAAGGTGTGTATACGAGTTTTGAGCCAACTGCATCGTTTGTCAAGGTGTGTATACGAGTGTTGAGCCAACTGCATCGTTTGTTAAGGTGTGTATACGAGTTTTGAGCCAACTCCATCGTTTGTCAAGGTGTGTATACGAGTGTTGAGCCAACTGCATCGTTTGTGAAGGTGTGTATACAAGTGTTGAGCCAACTGCATCGTTTGTGAAGGTGTGTATACGAGTTTTGAGCCAACTGCATCGTTTGTCAAGGTGTGTATACGAGTTTTGAGCCAACTGCATCGTTTGTCAAGGTGTGTATACGAGTGTTGAGCCAACTGCATCGTTTGTGAAGGTGTGTATACGAGTGTTGAGCCAACTGCATCGTTTGTGAAGGTGTGTATACGAGTTTTGAGCCAACTGCATCGTTTGTCAAGGTGTGTATACGAGTTTTGAGCCAACTGCATCGTTTGTGAAGGTGTGTATACGAGTGTTGAGCCAACTGCATCGTTTGTCAAGGTGTGTATACGAGTGTTGAGCCAACTGCATCGTTTGTCAAGGTGTGTATACGAGTTTTGAGCCAACTCTAAACTTGTCAAGGTGTGTCAAGTGTGCGTGCATCGAGGTGCACTTTGCTCAAGTGTGCGTGCATCGAGGTGCACTTTGCTCAAGTGTGCGTGCATAGAGGTGCACTTTGCTCAAGTGTGCGTGCATCGAGGTGCACTTTGCTCAAGTGTGCGTGCATCGAGGTGCACTTTGCTCAAGTGTGCGTGCATCGAGGTGCACTTTGCTCAAGTGTGTGTGCATCGAGGTGCACTTTGCTCAAGTGTGCGTGCATCGAGGTGCACTTTGCTCAAGTGTGCGTGCATCGAGGTGCACTTTGCTCAAGTGTGCGTGCATCGAGGTGCACTGTGTTGATGAGTGAAGTCTCTGGTACAAGTGTTGACTGTTGGGCCGATGAGATTCGGAGCTGTCAACCTATGCGGCTTGCTGAGAAGCTAGAGAAGAAAGGAGAATGCAGTGTCGAGGAATTAGAGTGCGAGCGATTAGAAATCTCCTCAAACAGTCTCTAAACTTGTCTCTTTGAAAGCAGTCAGAAAGGGCTTTAAGCTCAATTTGAGTTCCTTCATCAGAAGCACGTCTTTCCTCATCAGAAGCACGTCTTTCCTCATCAGAAGCACGTCTTTCCTCATCAGAAGCACGTCTTTCCTCATCCCTGCTCGTGTTGCGGCATGCCCCATCATGTACATCGCAGGCTGACTTGGCTGATTCCGGCATTGCCTATGGGTGGTACCACTCGTGCCACCCAGGGAAGCACGGCACCTCTGAGGCGCCTCACAAGCACGACGCACGGCAACAGCAGCAGGCGGAGGGAGGAGGGCAGACGCACACGGAGCAAGGCATGGCACAGGCCAAGGATCGCCAGCAGGGAGAGCGGGAGGAGCAGCAGCGGCAGCAGCAGCGGCAGCAGCACACACAAGGAGAGAATTTCCATGACCCTTGGGACTTAGGCATCCCCAGTCCTGCCACCCATGCCCTTTCGACTGCCCAGACCCACGCCCCTCTGCCCCCTGTCGACCCTGCTGCTGCTGAGATTGGGGTGGGGGAGATGGGGATAGAGGAGGGAAGAGGGGGAAGAGGGGACGTGGAGAGGGGAGGGGAGGGGGGGACGAAGCGGAAATGGGAGGGTACAAGAGACGGGAGGAGGGATGGGGAGCAGCAGAGAAAGAATGGAGTGTCAGGGAAAGTGAGCGGTAGGGAAGATGGGGAGGATGGAGGAGATGGGGGGGATGGAGTTGGGGAGGGTAAGGAGGGGGAGGAGGATGAGGACGAGGAGGAGAACAAGCCAGTGGCGCGGCTGGTGAGTCAACACGCGGCAGTGGCCAAGGCTGCAGAGGGCGCAAAGGGGGAGGGTGGGGCAGGGAAGGAGCAGGGCAAGACAGGGGATGGAGCAGTAGGAGGAGTAGCAGGAGGCGGAGGAGGAGTAGCAGGAGGCGGAGGAGGAGGGAGTCGGAAGGCATTGGTGAAGGGTTCAGAAGAAGCAGCCTTGGCTGCAGGGGCAGGGGGGGGAGGAGGGGAAGGGGGAGGGAAGAAGGACGGAGCGAAAGCCGCTGCCGGAAAGGCAGCAGCAGCTAAGGCATCGACAGGCGGTGAGGGGGAGGGTGGGGCAGGCGAGAAGAAGGCCAGCAGCAGCAACGCCCAGCCGGCCAAACCCAGCAAGGCAGGCGCCGCTGCCGCTTCTGCATCTGCTGCTGCCTCTGCCTCTGCTTCTGCCGCTGCCGCTGCTGCTGCAGGCAGTGCAGGTGGTGGCAGTGGCAGCACAGAGGGAAAGGGGGCTGCAGGGGGAGGGGGAGGGGCAGCAGGGGGAGCAGGGGGCACAGCGGGGGGAGCGGGAGGGGGAGGGGGAGCAGCGGATGGAGAGGCGAAGAAGAAGCGCAAGGCATGGACGCCCGATGAGGACAAGCTGCTGCTCAAGGCGGTGGAGGTGTACGGCGAGGGGCAGTGGGGGCGCGTGCTCAAGAGCGACTTGGGGATTGAGAGGAACGCCGCCCAGCTGTCCCAGGTGAGTGTGTGGGATGTATGGAGTTTGTGGGTCTGTGTTTGCCTCAGTTGCTGCTGCTGCTGCTGCTGCTGCTGCTGAAAGTGATAGAGGTGTATGGGGAGGGGCAGAGAGGGCGCGTGCTCAAGAGGAACGCCCCCAGCTGTCCCAGGTGGGCAGGTGGGTGGGTGGGTGGGTGGGTAGGTGGGTAGGTGTGTGGGTGGGTGTGTGGGTGGTGTGTGGGTGGGTGTGTGGGTGGGTATGTGGGTGGGTGTGTGGGTGGGCATGTGGGTGGGTGGGTGTGTGGGTGGGTGTGTGGGTGGGCATGTGGGTGGGTGGTGCATCGTGTGAAAAGAACCTTTGAGAAGGAGGGGTGCTGATACCAGGTCAGTACTTTCTTCAATTGCCTGCTCCTCACTGTCCCCTTCCCTCCCTACCCAACTCCCTCTCTCTGCGCGTCCCCCTCCTTTCCACCCGAATGCCAGCGCTGGTCCATTCTATGCAAAATTTCTGAGAAAGAGAGGGTTCCGATCCCAATTCCATTGCTCACGCTCTCCTTCACACCCCCCTTTCTCTGCTCTCTCTTTCCCACTTCTCCCCACCGTCATGCCAGCGGTGTTCATTCTACGAAACAAGTTTGAGAAGGAAGGAGTGCCTATCCCATCCCATCCCATCCCATCCCATCCCATCCCATCCATCCCATCCCATCCCATCCCATCCCATCCCATCCCATCCCATCCCATCCCATCCCACGCCCATTACTTACTGTCTCCCTCATACCTCCCTCTCTCTGCTCTCCCCCGCTCCCTACCCTGACACCAGCGGTGGTACATTCTGCGCAAGAAGTTTGAGAAGGAAGGAGTGCCCATCCCAGGCCGCAAGGCAAGGGAGGCCCGGGAGGCAGCAGCGAGAGAGGCAGCAGCGAAAGAAGCCGCTGCAAAAGAAGCAGCGGCTAAAGAGGCGGCTGCTAAGAAGGCTGCTGCTAGAGAGGCCGCTGCAAAAGAAGCAGCGGTGAAGGCTGAAGCTGCTGCGAGGGAAGCAGCAGCAAGGGAGGCAGCGAGAGAAGCGGCAAGGGAGGCAGCTAGGGAGGCAGCCACTAGGGAAGCAGCACGAGAAGCAGCAGCTAGAGCGGAGGCTGAGGGTGCTGGTAAGGCAGGAGAGGGTGGTGTGGGAGGGGAGACTGGGGATGGGAGTGGGGCCGGGATGCAGCAGCAGCAGCAGCAGCAGCAGCAGCAACAGCAGCCAGCGCAGCAGAGAGGAGCAGCGAGTAGCAGTGGTGGTTTGGGGGAAGGTGGGGGTGTGGGGGAGAGGAAGGAGCACGACATGGGATCCCTGCACATGCAGGGGCAGGGGCAAGGGCAGGGGCAGGGACTGGGACAGAAGCAGGGGCAGGGGCAGGGGCAGGGGCAGGGGCAGGGGCTGGGACAGGGGCAAGGTGAAATAGACGTTTATTCCAGTCCCATGAGGCACACACGTGCGTACTCTGGTGGGTACCCTCAGTCCTCCCTCTCTCACCCTTCCCCGCACACTCACACTCACGCTCACTCCCTCACACCCCACACCCACACCATGCACCCCTCCTCCATACCCCCCAAGTACCCCCCTTCCACGTCAGCATCCAACCAGTGGGCTCACAGAACCGGATCTGCTGCAGTGCCAGGTGGCAGTTCGGGATTGGCCCGTGGGGTGGCTAGTGGGGCGGCAGGCAGGGGTGCGAGTGGGAGGGGGACAACTGGCAGGCTGACGTCAGCACAGGCATGGGCGCAGCATCAGCAGCAGCAGCACCAGCAGCACCTGCAGCAGCAGCAACAGTTGCTGCAGCAGCAACAGCAGCAGCAGAGGCGCATGGCAACTGCTATGGGCCGAGGCAGGGGCTTTCCAGGAAACTCCCCATATGCTTCCGCAGCTGCCGCGTCAGCTGCCGCCGCCGCCGCTGCTAATGCTGCCAAATCGGCAACAGCTGGCGGTTATTCACCCGGTGGGCTGCCGGGCGGCAGAGGTACTGTAGCAGGGGCGGGCGGGCGGGCGGGAGCGGGCGGCGGCATGATGGGCAGGATGGGTGTGGGGAGAGGAAGAGGGGTGGGTAATGTCGGTGCTGCAGCAGCAGCAGCAGCAGCAGGGAGGGGATTGCCATCAGGCTCAGCAGCAGCAGCAGCAGGAGCAGGAGGTATGGGAGGAGTGGGAGGAGGGATAGGAGGGATAGGAGGGATAGGAGGGGGTCCTCGGCCAGGCATTGGCACAGTAGGGCGTGCATCTATGCACCCCCACTCCTCCCACCCCTCCCACGCCTCCCTCTCCTCCTCCCACTCCCCTCACACCTCACTCTCTCACTCGCACACACCTCTCGCCCCGGACCCTCTGGTGCAGGCGGCAGCAGTGGCAGCAGGGGCGCGGATAGCACCTCCCTCAGCTGCAGCCTCCCTCATGCAGGCCGCTGCGGGGAAGGCAGGTGCGCCTGTGGTGGTGCACCACATCACCCGCTCGCCCCATACCTACAGCTCAGGCTCGGCAGCAGGGTTTGTGCCTGGCGGTGGAGGTTTGGGAAGGCCTGGAGTGGGAGCGGTGGGAGGGGCAGGTCGGGGTGGGGGAGGGCAGAGTGGGAGAGGGAGAGGGGTTGCCGTGTCTTCTGCTGCTACAGCCGGTGCTGCTGTAGCTGGTTCAGGGGGAGGGAGGGGAGGGGTAGGGGGAGTGGGGAGAGGGGCAGGTGCGTCTGTGCCAGGTGGCCAAACCCCATTGGCTGGGAGTAAACCAGTGGGGCAAAGTGCCTCTTCGGGAATGCCCCCAGCAGGCGCACAGGGGAGCGCAGGGGGAGGTGCAGGCGCACAGGTGGGCGCAGGGGGAGGTGCAGGCGCACAGGTGGGCGCACAGAGCAGCACCATGCAAGGTGCGTCCCAAGGCTGTGCAGCCCCAGCAGCAGCAGCACCACCACCCAACTCAGAAGTGTTGACACATTCAAAGGTGCCAGATGCAGGAGTGGTGCCAAGCTCAGTCGATGCAGTGGCAACTGCTGCTGCTGCTGGTACTGGTGGTGTTGCTTCTGCTGCTGCAACCAATGCACCAGCTCCCGGTGTGAGACAAGGTACGCCGGCCAGTTCGGTATCACCACTGCCTGTGGCGCCAGCTAAGTCGCACGCGCCTGCTGCAACTGCTACTGCCTCTCTTGCTACCACCGCTGCTGCCACACCTGCTCCAGCCTCCTCCTCCTCTGCGCCTGCGGCAACACCGCCAGCACCACCAGCAGTGCCTGTTTCAGCAGCGCCAGCAGCAGCAGCAGCCCCAGCAGCTGCTGCTGCTGCACCTGCACCTCCCGCTGTTGACTCGACCAAACCGCCTTGACAAGCTGCATCCTCTACACGACCCAGCGCACCAACCATTCTGGAACACAGAACCTGAGTTCACAAATACGTACGGTACGTGGCATGGAGGTTATAGTGGGGCGCAATTAAGTGGCCACCACCAGTCTAACCATAGCTCCAGCACTCCACGAAGAGCCTCTAGCTCTTTTGGAAACAGTATTTGCTCACAACACAGTGATTTAACTTGTCCAGGGCTGCTTTGCTCCCACGTCTGTCAAGGGGATTCTCCCCCTTGGACCCCAACCACTAAAAGGATGTGTATGCCCATCTGTGTGCAAGCACAGCAAGCACACCCAACCCGATAGACGTGTTGATAGTGTAGTGCACATGAGCATAACAATGCCGTGGATTAAAAAAAAGTATGGTATGATCAGGAGGCTCCCTGGGTCCCCTCCCCTTTCCTAACACGGCGTCCCCCCACTACCGTATCTGTGGGCAGGTGATCTGTCAAGAACTGTTTCTTGTGGCAACAGAACAGAGTTGTCTTATCTCCTGCATCTCCTGCCTTGAATGAGCAGTTGTGTGATCTTTTGAGGCGCCTCAAAAGCTGTCAATGATCCATCTCCTCACAACAAACAAACCCATGTGTACCAGGAAAGTTTCTTCAAACAAAACAAATAAGGCAGCCACTGGCTTTCACATTAGCACTAAAGCAGCTGCTGTCTGAGGGGAAAAAAACTCAGGTATGAAGAGAAGGGATCCACGTTAGTGGAGCGGCCAATTTCAGACAAAACCCAAGAGTCATTCATCCATCTCTTGAAAATTGCAATCACTGCACATGCCACCCGCCCGCGCAACCCCCAATAAGACATAGAGCAGCAGCAGCTGCTGTCGGATAGAAGAGGGGGGTTGAGCAAGCAACGGGGCCGTGTGTCTCTTGTCTCTTCCCCTCCCAACTGCGACGTGATGTGATGCGCTGCAGCTCCCATCTTCTCTCCAGCGCCACTAGAGCAATTGAGCTGGTCCAAGCCATTGCCATCTATCCTGGTCATGATACCGCGCTAGACGCATTGCTTTGCAATACCTGCAAGAGCACCTGCTGCAACACCTGCCGTCAATCCATCCCCTCCTCCCTTTTTTTTTACATTCGATGCAGCTGCTCTCTCCCTCCTGCCCCCGTTTTATAGCAATTGGAGCAGCTGCTCTCTCCTCTTCTCAAAGCCCGTTTGTTTCTACAAATGAGCCCGTCCCCTCTCCTGTCTTTTTAGAAGGTTAGCAGATACTGCCTGCACACTTGGCGGAAGGAAAGCAGATGCCATTGATGCATGCCACTCCCCTCCACCATCCTTCTCATTGTGTCTAGAAGCAAAGGAGTTTGTTGCCACTCTCCTTAACCAACCCCCCCTGTCTCCTCCACAAAACCCCCCCACGTCCCCCCACGCGTCCCCCCTCCCCCCACTTTCCCGTTCATCTGGTTTAGAACTAGAGGAGCTGCTGGCGGGGCGCGTGGCGAAAGAACGCTCCCGTCTCTCCTCTTGCACCCTCTTCCAACACACCCAACCCCTCCCCACCCCTTTCTCCCGTTCATCGCGTTTAAAAGTAGAGGAGTTGTTGGCGGGGCGCGTGGCGGAAGAACGCGCCCACCTCCTGCCGCTTGTTCAGCATCAGCAGCGCCTGGCACAGCCCGCGCTTCATCCACCGGTTCACGCGCGGAAGGTCCGCCGCGCCCCCGACCGCCGGGTCAATCCGCAGCGCCGCCAGAAACGCGTCCACGGAACCGGACTCAACCGCGGCTTCGAGAAACCCCCACGCCCACGCCATGTACAGGCGCGGGCTTGCGCCCTCCCCGCGCATGCTCAGCGCCGCCGCCCACACCGCGTCCGCCATGGGTTGATTCACCAGGTGCGGGCGTTGGCGCACGTACGCGGCGATTTTCAGCAGCGCGCTCGCGACGAGGTCAGGTTGCGTGGGGACGAGCAGGTGCGCGGGGATGAGTGCGCGCACGGCGTCCCCGAACTCGCCCAGCGCGCGCCACTGCGAGGGGGTGAGCAGCGCGCGCGTGCGCTGGATGCGCGCCGCTGCCGCCGCCGCGGCGCCACACACGTGCCGATGCTTCCGCCACGCCTGCATCTGGCACAGCCGGCAGCAGTAATACACCAGTCTGGGGTAGGAAGGAGGAAGAAGAGAGCGGGAATGGGCGGGGGAAAGGGGAGGGAGGAGGGTGGCGGGGAGGAGAGGGGAAGGGGGGTGAAGCGGAGGAGGAAAAGGGGGCGTGAGGGATGGGGAATGGCGGGCGGTACGAAATTAGGAGAAAAGCAGGTACGGCTTCAAATACCCACACCTCTTGTTAGCGCCTGCAGCAGCTTAGCATGCTCTTAATACCTCCAGCAGCCTACCACGCCATTCGCTTTTGCAGACGTAACACGGCCTTAAGGCCCTACTGGACCACACCCTACCCCCCCCCACGACCTGCAGCAGTCCAACACGCCTTTACCACATCCAGAAGCATAACACGCCTCTGAAGCACTACTGGACCGCTTTCCATCCCGGAAACTAGGGCCTGGACCAACCCCCATCCCGGCTGACCGCAGCAGCCCAAGACGCCTTTGCCATCTGCGACAGCCTAACACGCCTCTGGACCCTGCTGTACCGCTCCCTACCCCAGCTGACCTGCAGCTGCCGCATTTGGAGGTGGCGGGGCGGCGGACGCAGAAGTAGCAGGCGTTGTCGGGAATGTCGAACGCCATCAGCCCAGGGCCTGGATTCCCCACCTCTCCGCCCGCCGCTCCCGCTTCCCCGCCCGCTCCGGCTTCTCCCGCTACCCCTCCCGCAGCTGCGCCGGCAGCAGCGGCGGCAGCGGGAGGAGCGGCGGAGATGGGTACGAGAGCGAAGTTTCGTTGGATGAGAAAGTTGATGGTTAGCGAGCCTGTCGCGCCGATAAGCAGCGCCGCTAGCACGGAGAAGTCGATGGACACGCTGACTCGCGGCAACAACGAGCCGACATACTCGTGTGAGAGATAACAACCGGCGATTAAGAGTGCGACGGCGAGACACGCTAGCGCGCACGCCACGTGCCGGACTCTAACGTTTCCCAGCATCGTCTATTAGCGCGACTCACGGAGCTTATGACGAGAAACGTTGCAACAACGAACGTGGGGGACGGGGAACCCTTGGATCGACTTCCAAGCTCGGTCAACGACTGCGTGTCGGATTTAGGTCACAAGCTGCGACACGACCTAACCCTAATACGCCAGGGCTCTACCATGTCTTATCCTGGACGAAGCGACTTATAGAAACTGTAAGATATCGACACTCTTTAGTAACCTACCTCGGCAAGCTCTGGAACCTAGACGCCAGCGGTCAGCTTGCAAGCGGTAAGGCAGGAAAGCAACACGGATTCATCTGCCACGTCTGGTTGACTGGGTCTGGCTGGCTGGACTGGAACCCTCACAGCTTTATGCCTGAGGCAGTGAGAGCGAACAAGCAGCGAGAACCATTCAACCAACCCGTGTGACGGAAAACCAGCATCAAGGCTTTGGGAAACTCGAGCAGGCTTGGCTGGCTCTTCGCGAGTTGAAGTGGGGGAGCGGGGCTAGTGGTGGTTGGGTGTGGATGAGGCTGGCTCGGCCCATATTTAGTTGGTTCAGGCGTGGATTTGCTGGTTCGGTCTGGTTTCGGCTAGTCCGGCGGGGAAGACCCTGGGCTGGTTTGGAGTTCGCTCAGTCGGCTCGCGTCTGTGACGGAGACATGCGGCGAACAGACACAATGGCTGGGCATTTCCGTTTTCACCCGGGCAGATTTCCTGTCAGTAATGGTAATGCTGAGGTGAGTTATTGTTGCAGAGGCCGCTCCGAGCCAATCAAACAGCCCTAAATTCGTACACGAAAAACATTAGAATCGTACCGTCACATCGATGTGACCCCAGGCAAAGTCAAACATAGTGATAAATGAATGGGCAGGATACAGAAACAATTCGCACCGAGGGACCACCTGCAGCGCGCGCGGTTCAGTGATATACGAGTTTGTTCGCTGCAACCTACAAGCTTTCGACAAGAAGAATCTGGAGTGTTCTTCCACCACTTCTAAACGGTCACAACCACAAAATAGTGTTACATGGGACAATACAGTTCAGTAATGTCCAAGCCTTCTGAGCTCAGCTTATTGTGCACTTATCAGTCCCCACAGCACCTTCATGATCTTTCTCAACATGCCGAACCAAAGCCACAGGGTCGGGAAAACGTTTCCCGCATCTTGGGCATTGCTCAGGCCCTTGGCCACCACCCGCCCGACCTGCACCGCTTCTGCTTCCCCCTGCCACTGAACTACCAGGCCCAGCATTACTGCCAAACTGCACGCTGACACCTGTCCCCCCATGCGCATGTGCAGTCTCCACATGGTTAATTAATGCCACAGCATCCCCAAACCTCGCTCCACACTGAGGGCAAACCTCTGGCCCCCCGCCACCATCCCCTCCCCCAGCCCTGGCTGCCCCTGCACCTGGTTGCTGTGGCTCTGCTGATCCCACTCTAGATTGTGAGCCTGCAGCTGACCCCGCTTGTCCTGCGCCCTGATTTTGACGCCTTGCCGCTGTCCCTCGCACTGTATTGAGGTCATTTGCTGCTGCACCACTGCCACTGCTGCCTTTGTTGCTGCTGCTGCTAGTATTGCTGCTGGCACCGACACTGCTCAATTTACCCTTGTTGCTTGATGTCGACGCCTTGACCCCGGTGCTGGTATTTTTACCAGCTGATTTGCCTGCACCACTGCCACCAACGCCACTGCTGCTGCCAGCACCAGCTGCACCACCAGCCGGTGCCATCAGCCCTGCCATGGCGCCCTGCACGCCTGCCATCAGCTTCTCACTGTACGCCCCACCAGCTGCCCAGAACGAAGCGGGCTGCAAGTTCTTTTGGCTGCCCGAGCACGCGTGGTCGGCGCCGAAGCGGTGGCGCAGGCAGGTTTGGCGGGAGCAGTCGCGGCAGGTGACGGTGTTGGCGGGCGAGAGCACCTCCTTGCAGCCCTGCGCCGCACACCGGCGCTTGTTGGCCACTCTGGAGGGGGATAGGAGAAAGGGGAAGGTGAGGAGAAGAGGAGTGGAAAATAGAGAAGAGGAAGGGTGAAATGTGACGGTGTTGGCTGGGGAGAGCACCTCCTTGCAGCCCGGTGAGGCACACCGGCGCTTGATGGTCACCCTGTAGAGGGGAGGTGAGGAGGCGCGGAGTGGAGAAAAGAGAAGAGTCACGGTGTTGGCTGGGGAGAGCACCTCCGTGCAGCCCTGTGCCGCGCACCGACACTTGTTGGCCACTCTGCAGGGAGACAGAAAGGGGGAGGTGTGGAGGGGAGGTGAGAAAATCAGAAAGGAAGTTGTGACTGTGTTGGCGGGCGAAAGCACCTCCTTGCAGCCCTGTGCAGCACACCGGCACTTGTTGGCCACTCTGGAAGGGGGAGGTGAGGAGGTGGGGAGAGGAGAAAAGGGAAGAGGAAGAACGAGGTGCGACGTTACGTTGTTAATGGAGAAACGTACCTCCTTGCCGCCCTGTGCGGCACACCGGCTTGTTGGCCACTCTGCAGGGAGACGGAAAGGGAGGTGTGGAGGTGAGGAGAGAGAGGAGGAAGGGTAGGCTGCGACGGTGTTGGGAGGAAACAGAGCTTGCGTACAGCGCTGTGCCACACAACTGCGTGTGTTCGCCACCCTGTGAAGGGGTGGGAGAAAGGGGAAAAGAGGGGCAATGATGTTCCTTAGAGTATGACTGTAGCAGCTCATCGCAAGACTGTAGCTCAGAAAGGCTGTACATTACGGCAAGGCTGAATAAGCAATCAGCCTGCATCTAGTTGCCGAAGTACCAAGCTGATTTCACCGCATCGTACCTTTGCAGGTTGCTGGGATCGCATCCGGACCGTTCATGCCGCGCCCACGTCACATTCGGGTCCTCGTCGCCCACCAGTCGCACGGCCTTGGCGCATAGCGGACACAGCAGCACCACAGCATCGCCGACTGTCGCACGCGGGCATTCGTGCGATGCCGGCATGCGATGCGACAGACAGAAGACCATGCGACACTTGTCGCAGGTGAAGGGAAGGAAGTCAATCTGCTGGCATGACGTCACCGAGCAGTGCTTTCCCAAGTCGGGAAAGGCGGGCGTCCCCATGGTCGACGTACAAACAGACTCGATATAAAGACTATAAATAACCTCGTATCAACAGTACGTCTAGTGCGAGATTAATCTGCAGTAGTAGCTGAGCTTGATCCCCCCGGATCAGGCAAAGGCAGAGCACTCAGGTATACATCTCCGTTGTCGCTGTTTCAGAAGGGATTAGAACCGAGGGGCTTTTTGTCTTCAGCGCACCGAAAGACCTGACTGTCGGTGCTGAGGCCTATGTCTGCCGATGGCGTCTACGCATAAGACAGCATATCGTACGGTCAGATCCCGATTAATGCCTGAAAATCGTCGCGGGAAACGCAACGAGAAGATCGCGATGAGACGAGCAAACGGCCAGCCTCAGATGACGGACGGCTGTCGTGAGCAGGGGTACTAGAGTGAAGGGAGTTAGGCTGGCAGCAACAAACTACGCCATCACATCACGCACAATGAGAGAACCGAGCAGCGAATATGGTGGTCATCACGCAATGTCATCGGGCGGGAGAATGAACAGCAGACGGAGTCTGAGGACGCGTCACCTCAACGCCGATCACAGGGTCGAACCTACGTAGGTTCGATTTTTTAACGGTTTAAAACCCAAGACCTGAATTACAACAAGAGGCGACGAAATCGTCTTAGGATTGCGAAGCAACACTCGTAACATGCGTAAGAATTTTAGAACGACTTTAATTTGTCTGTCGTTGTTGGATTGTAGTAAATTGTGAGATTTCCATGTTTTAAAATGATCATGAAATACAGATGTTTTGAGATATAGTTGAGGACAGGTTACTAAATTTTTATGATAATGTGTATACGTGGTAGTTGTGTTTCATACAATTTCAGTTTTCAAACGTTTGTTTATGTGTTATGATTTGACAGGACTGTAATTAGAGCGAATTGCTGACGTCAGCAGTTTCTAACGCGCAAAACATCGACTGACGTCAGCAGCGTCGAAGGAAATTTGCGCAGAAATTTCTGACGGCGCTGCTGGCGTCACGCGATTTTGTCTCGCGCGTAAAAGCTTGCTGACGTCAGTAGCGCGGAAATTTCGAACAGCGCTTCTAACGTCATGCGTTCCGCGTGAGAAGAAGTGAACGAGAGAATGAATGAACTATGAGTGAAGTCAGTACAAATATGAAACCCTGATTGGGTTGTACCCCCTATGGGATACCCCACTATAGCCTACACAAAAGCATAAACTATAATGTTCTGACACACCCCCATAGGCAAAGTAGGGGAGAACAAGGGGTCACAAGACCAGTCAAGCAAAGCAAAGCAAAGCTCAGGGTGGATCATAAAGTCACCACACATTCCGAGCACAAGTTCAAAGGCCATAAGGCCAGTTCACATGCAAGACCATATATAGAGATATACAAGAGTCAAGCAAGCAAGAGCAAGAGTATATATAGGTGAAGGTACAAGCAATGTCAAGAAGTGAGCAAGTGAGGCAAGACAGGCACAAGACCCAGCTGCGTGCAGCAACGCTGATGATCACAAGGCGCAAGTGCCTTGGTGAAGACATCAGCAGTGTTGGCCTCAGAGGCCACGTACGCAAGTCGCAACTGTCCACGCTGCTGTAGCTCACGAGCAAGAAAGTAGCGGAGAGCAATGTGCTTTGTCCTGTGCTCCAGTCGCTGCTCTCGACACAAGGCCAGCATGGCCTTGTTGTCTACGTACAGGACTGGAGGAGAACGAGGCGGCTCTCCAAGGTCGGTCAGCAGGTAGGTGAGCCAGCGAAGCTCCTGGGCAGCCATAGCCCCGGCGTAGATCTCAGCCTCACAACTGGAGCCGAGAACAGAAGACGAGCGGGTAGCCCGCCACGAAACAGAGCCGGAACCAAGGCTGAAGGTGTAACCCTGTGACGACCGCTGCGTAGCCTGGTCGTCAGCCCAAGAAGCGTCCGCGTGCCCAGTGAGGACCACTGGACTGCGCCCTCCAAGCACTAGCCCCATGCCCGACGTACTACACAAGTAGCGCAACACCCTCTTCGCTGCAGCCATGTGCTCTGGTCGGTGTCTCCCAGGAGCAACATAGCGTGCGAGAATGCTAAGAGGGTATGCAAGGTCAGGTCGTGTGCAGGTCATCAGGTACATGAGGCAGCCAACAAGCTCTGCATACGGGCCACTCGACTCTACGGACTCATCCGAAGGCAGAGCTGAGAGCGAGTGGCGAGTAGGCAGAGGAGTGGCCCGAGGCGAGGAGTATGTGAAGCCGAAGCGCTGAAGGACCTGCTGCACCATGTGTGACTGAGTCAGGGTAATGGTGCAGCGTGCTCTGTCCCGGGTGATCTGCAAGCCAAGGTAGCTGCGCAGTTCACCCAGGTCAGTGCACGTGTGTCTCTTCTGCAGCTCGGACTTCATGTAGGCGAGTCCAGCAGTGTCAGCTGTGGCAAAGACCAAGTCGTCGACGTACACGAGGATGTAGAACGGCGGCAGAGAGGTGTCGGTGCGCAGAAACAGTGACGGGTCGGCAGTAGAAGGAGCAAACCCAAGTGCCGCCAGCGTAGTCCTTAGTGTGTCGTGCCACTCACGTGGCGCCTGGCGGAGACCGTAGACTGGACGCCAGAGACTCCACTGGGTAGCAGGAGGGAAAGACCCAGTGAAGCCAGGTGGGCGACGCAGACAGATCTCCTCGTGCAGGCTGCCCTGCAAGAAAGCAGTGCTGAAGTCGAGAGAGTGCAGCTCGTAGTCACGGTGAGCAGCAATGTGCAGCAGTACCCGAAGAGTGGTCATCTTCGGGGTGGGGGAGAAGGTCTGAAAGTAGTCAACTCCCTCTCGCTGACTGAAGCCACAAGCCACGTAACGCGCCTTGAAGACAGGCGGAGAACCCGGCGGCCGCTTCACCCTGAAGATCCACATGCCACTGACGATGTTCGCCCCAGGAGGGGGAACAGCGTCAACGTAGGTGCTTGTGGACTTCCAGGAAGCCATCTCTGCATCCATAGCTGCCTGCCACTGAGAGGAGTAGGGACCCTCTATCGCCTCCGCGTAAGAGCGCGGAGTCGGGATGTCAAGTGCATCCGGGTCTCCCTCAGGGGCTAGCAGTACAGACGCGAGATGAGGTGAAGCGGCGGCCAGACACTGGAACTCCTCCTGCCTGTCCTCAAGGACGTCCGTGCCAAGGGCACACTCACCCTCGACGGACGGAGGACAGGCAGACTCAGACTCAGCGACAAGACTAGCAGCGTAGTCTAGATGACAGCGCGCAGCAAAGTCGACGAGCTCAGTGACAAGGGCAGACGCAGCAGAAGACTCGAAAGAAGGGTCAGTGACAGTAGTAGCAAGGAGACGCGTGACAGTAGGACTGGCAGCACGAAGAGAGTCCGACGCCGAGTCGGCAAGAGCAGGAAGAGAGGAAGCAGGAGGAAAAGGCAAAGGGGCACGCAGAGGAGCAGTGGACGGACGCAGAGACATCCGGTGCGTGCCAGGGACAGGAAGAGGACGCTGACGCGAACCGCGACCACTAGTGCGCGCAGTACGAACAGGCGACGCAGGACGAGACGCAGGCTCACGACGCTCAGTAAGACCTCTAGTCGGACCAGCGTAGGGAGAAGGAGCAGGCAAAGGGGAGGCAGGCTGTAGCTGTGACAGTGACTGGACAGGCTGTTGAGAAGAATTGAACGAGAATGAAATGACTATGAACGAAGTGAGTACATATAGGAAACCCTAATTGGGTTGTACCCCCTATGGGATACCCCACTATAGCCTACACAAATAAGTAAGCTATATGTTCTGACACACCCCCATAGGCAAAGTGGGGGAGAACAAGGGGTCACAAGACCAGTCAAGCAAAGCAAAGCAAAGCTCAGGGTGGATCACAAAGTCACCACACATTCCGAGCACAAGTTCAAAGGCTAGAAGGCCAGTTCACATGCAAGAGCATATATAGAGATATACAAGAGTCAAGCAAGCAAGAGCAAGAGTATATATAGGTGAAGGTACAAACAAGGTCAAGAAGTGAGCAAGTGAGGTAAGACAGGCACAAGACCCAGCTGCGTGCAGCAACGCTGATGATCACAAGGCGCAAGTGCCTTGGTGAATACATCAGAAGTGTTGGCCTCAGAGGCCACGTACGCAAGTCGCAACTGTCCACGCTGCTGTAGCTCACGAGCAAGAAAGTAGCGGAGAACAATGTGCTTTGTCCTGTGCTCCAGTCGCTGCTCTCGACACAAGGCCAGCATGGCCTTGTTGTCTACGTACAGGACTGGAGGAGAACGAGGCGGCTCTCCAAGGTCGGTCAGCAGGTAGGTGAGCCAGCGTAACTCCTGTGCAGCCATAGCCCCGGCGTAGATCTCAGCCTCACAACTGGAGCCGAGAACAGAAGACGAGCGGGTAGCCCGCCACGAAACAGAGCCGGAACCAAGGCTGAAGGTGTAACCCTGCGACGACCGCTGCGTAGCCTGGTCGTCAGCCCAAGAAGCGTCCGCGTGCCCAGTGAGGACCACTGGACTCCGCCCTCCAAGCACTAGCCCCATGCCCGACGTACTGCACAAGTAGCGCAATACCCTCTTCGCTGCAGCCATGTGCTCTGGTCGGTGTCTCCCAGGAGCAACATAGCGTGCGAGAATGCTAAGAGGGTATGCAAGGTCAGGTCGTGTGCAGGTCATCAGGTACATGAGGCAGCCAACAAGCTCTGCATACGGGCCACTCGACTCTACGGACTCATCCGAAGGCAGAGCTGAGAGCGAGTGGCGAGTAGGCAGAGGAGTGGCCTGAGGCGAGGAGTACGTGAAGCCAAAGCGCTGAAGGACCTGCTGCACCATGTGTGACTGAGTCAGGGTAATGGTGCGGCGTGCTCTGTCCCGGGTGATCTGCAAGCCAAGGTAGCTACGCAGTTCACCCAGGTCAGTGCACGTGTGTCTCTTCTGCAGCTCGGACTTCACGTAGGCG